TTGTTGTTGGGGGGGGGGGGGGGGCAGTTTCTTTTCTCTAACAAAGGGCTGAGTGGACTTGTAGGTTCTAAAGTTTTATACCTTTTTTAACTGCAGTTTATGTAAATAATAATTCTACATTTTTAAATTGCACTTTCATGATTGAGATTGCACAACCTTGTACCAAGTAAACTGAAAAATACTATTTCTTTTGTTTCTTTTTTTATAGTGCAGATGTTTGCAATGAAAAATAATATAAAAAGAGCACTTTACACTTTGTATTCTGTGTTGTAATAGAAATCAATATATTTGAGAATGCAGAAAAATATTTCAAAAATATTTATAATAAATTTCAATTGGTATTGTATTAATTGCTTGCGCTAACTGGGATTAACAGCCCAGACTGGAATATAGTCTCTCCTTCCATCCTATAGTCACAGAATATCATGGTGTCTGTTGCAATTGCCTATTCCACCCATGATATGAGAGATGTTTCTTGGGATACTTTGGGCTTCTATTTGAACAGTTTTAATGTCATGGTTCTGATTCTCCTCTGACATACACGGGTGTAAATTGGGAATTAACTCTGAAGTCAGTGGAGTTGTACAAGTGTAAAGGGGTATGAATTCCTGAATTACAAATTACATTTTTGTACTTTCCAAAAAAGATGTGCCTAATCTGCCTTTTCCTACCCTGCCAGGAAAGAGCTCAGAGAAATGAGCAAATGCAGAGGAAAAGTGTTGATCTTTGTAGCAATGAGTAGCAACTCATGCTTGTTGATCAGCTGTCTACAAAAAACGTCTCCTGCCTACCTTCTACCCCACCTTTTATTGGGGATCTAAAAGAAGGAGCAATTGATCAGAGACTGCCCATTTCTGGGGTAGCTGAGTAAACAGGTCAAGCAATCAGAGATGTGATTCAACTGCTCTTTATTTATGGGGGGTGGAGTGGGGGCTGGAGGGGGTGGATAACACAAAATGAATGAAGTTCCCTATTCCTATAAGTAGAGATTTTATACTCCAATTAAATAAATCAGTTTGAATAGATGTCAGTGGGAACTGTCCGTCCCTCCCAGAAAGCTGTTTGTTTGCAGGATTTCTGCAGTGGGAAATAAATCACTGTCTGAGCCTTTTGCATGTTCTTAAAACCATATTCTTAAAAACAGGATGAGCAGTGACTGTGGTGCTGAAACAGAAACTTCTTTAGGCTGTTCCAGATATTTTCTGAATAGAATTTCACCTCTTTGCAAATCACATCTTGTTCCAAGCTCAGCGCTCTTGACCTTCTGACTGCAAAAGCTCTTCTAATAGCTCCCCCAGGACAAGGAGTTTGAGCTTCAAGACCAGCCTGATTCTGCCACTCTAATGGCTTTAAAACTGTATTTGTTTTGCTTGCATTGAAAATGCCTCATGGTGTCAACTATAGCAGATAGGGCTGTGCTGAATTGTTTCATAGATAAACTTAAAAAACAACAAATGGTCTGGTAGCACTTTATAGACTAACAAAACATGTAGATCAGGGGTGTCCAAACTTTTTTCAAAGAGGGACAGATTTGATGAAGTGAACATGCGTGAGGGCCGACCATTTTGCCTGACATTCTTTGAACCATTAAAATTAAATCCAAATTAACTATCTTATGCAAAGTTTATTGCAAACGGCATACTTTTCATTTCGTCACATGGATGACAAATCTAAACAGGTGTTAAATCACTCTGCCTTTCATATCTGAAGGCCAGATGAAAAAAAATCCAGGAAGCTGAAATATATGTCAGGAACATTGTAAAGTACATTACATATTATTGGTAATAAAGGTTGTCTGTCAACTTTTAAGTTAAAAAAATATGAACAGGAACATAACACCCAGTATACATGTTGTGTCCAAATATATTTATAACTGATTTAGACCAACTGACATTAACTGAGATTTTACAATGTATTCATCTCAATACATATGGATTCGTTGGGGGCCATAAAAGACAGATATTGCCAAATTACCTGTGGGGCCGTATTAAACCGGAACACGGGCCACAATTGGCCCGCGGGCCGGACTTTGGACATGCCTGATGTAGATGGTATCATGAGCTTTTGTGAGCACAGCCCACTTTTTCAGATGACCGGAGTTTTGAGTTTAGGATGTGCAGACCCAAAATAAATAGAGGAGAAGGGGAAAAAAAAGTAAGGGGGCGGGAAACAAGGAGCAGAGGGTATGAAAATATCAAAGAGAAAAACAAGTACCGTATATACTCGAGTATAAGTCGACCCGAATATAAGCCGAGGCACCTAATTTTACCCCAAAAAACTGGGAAAAAGTATTGACTCGAGTATAAGCCTAGGGTAGGAAATGAGGCAGCTACTGGTAAATGTAAAAAATGAAGATAGATACCGGGTCTAGCCCCGGAAGTCGGGGCGAAAGCTGCTCCGGTGCCCCTGGTCTGCTGGAGACCGTCTCCAGCAGACCAGGGGCACCGGAGCAGCTTTCGCCCCGACTTCCGGGGCTAGACCCGGTATCTATCTTCATTTTTTACATTTACCAGTAGCTGCCTCATTTCCTACCCTAGGCTTATACTCGAGTCAATACTTTTTCCCAGTTTTTTGGGGTAAAATTAGGTGCCTCGGCTTATATTCGGGTCGACTTATACTCGAGTATATACGGTAGGCAGAACTGATACCCTATAAGCACCTAAATATTGGATAGTTAAAAGAAGCAGATAAGGATCATAGGATAGCAATTAGATAGGAAGGGTACTAACACAAGAATCTACACAGACAAAGAGCTGTTGGCACCTCCATTGAAAGTTAGGTTGATAATGTTCCAGCTATGCATTCTCCAATGAGGAGGTTATCAGTGTGAGAATTGAATTTGTGGATGAATTGTAATTCTGAGGCCTCTCTGAGTATTTGTCTTGTAGAATTGGTTTGTGACAAGACTGCCACCTGGAGAACTTTTAAAGAGTGATTGGGTAGTTTGAAACAAAAAACAGGACTATGTAGCACTTTAAAGACTAACAAGATGGTTTATTAGGTGATGAGCTTTCGTGGGCCAGACCCACTTCCTCAGATCAAATAGTGGAAGAATAGGTAGTTTGAAGTGTTCTCCAACAGTTTTCTGTATGTTCCCTTTACATAGATCTGATTTGTGTCCATTGATTCTTTCCCGTAGGGACTGTCCAGTTTGTCCTATATATATATATATATATATATAGCAGTGGGGGATTGCTGGCATTTGATGACATAGAACAAATTACTGGATATGCAGTTAAATATTACACTGAAAAGTAGCGATGTAGACTCTGTGCTGGGCTTTGAACCTAACGTAACCACAATTCTATCTGTCATGTGTGCAGACACGGGTGTCTGGCCAGGTTCTAACATCATGTTCATACTTAGAGCCAGGACTGTTTTGTGTTGACTTGATTCCCTTTAGAATCTCTCCACTGGGCTTCATCTTTATGTGCTTGGTCTCGGTGCACTCCTTGGCAATGGTTTAAGAATAGTCCTGCTGCTGCCTACGCAGCCTAGAAAACGGCTTTTGCTGGAGCCATCTTGAAATGGACATGGGACTCTTTTTTCAAATACGGTCTTCAAAGCCCGGTTTAGACAGGGTCTTTGAGTGGCTATTACAGCAACAAACAAAGGAGAACAACAGAACTGACAGAAACCTAGGGGAAAATAAAGCACTGTATGGATTTGATCACCACCAGGTATCTAAATGAAACACATTGCTTCTGTAGCACAGTGCATCAACTGCCTTCCGAGTTTCTGCCTGTTCACAGCCGTTGATAACAACCAGTTCCAGTGCTTTCAAGTTCTTGCCCCATGACAAATGCTGGGCCAATCCTATTCTGCTTTTCCCTGGCCAGAAGGAACCTACTCTCTGTTTGCCTGTTCTGGGGGGAATGGATGGAGTTACATGAGTGCAATGAAGTGGACCATTCTGCAGGGTCATACGCATGACTCCTACGGATGCTTAGGGCTGAGTTTTCATGTCCTGGTTTGGTGCTTACCCTAGCTCTGAAGATCTCGGCCTGCATGGAGGGCTTTGGAAGGGCTTGTAGAGGAAGAAAAGCAGCTTCAGACAAATTACTTAGGTGTACACGAGTCTGTTTGATCACCTGAACGTGATGTGCCTTTTTACCATGTTACGATAGAGATTCTTAGGTAAGGCTTTTCATCCAGAGATCTGAATGGCTTTGTGTTCTGCGTTCATACAACAGAACGGAGTCCGGGTTCATGCTTAGGGCTCCTAGGGTCTACAAGTACTAAATAGTAACTTCACACAGGTGAAGTTATTTCAGTTTTATCTCCATTTACAGGCCATGCCTCCATTAAGAATACATGTGTTGGTGTAATTACATGGAACTGATGAAGCAGGTGCAAATCCCTAATGTATAAAGTGGGACTTGTATCACAGCAGTGTAATCTGCATTAAATTGTTGACTTAAGATGCACCAGTAAAAGCTAAACTTTAAGATGGTGAAGTCACATGGTTGCATGATTCCTCTAAATGGATAGGAATTTGGAAACTGAGGCAAGACAGGTTGAGTGACTTGACTAAGACCACATGGCATGTCAGTGGCTTGGCAGAGGCTTTGTATCCTGTACTTCTGATCCAGTTCCAGAATCTTGCAGGATGTGTGCATTGCATTTTTTTGAACAATCTAAATTCTAGTGACCATTTGGTAATTATCCTGAATGTTGTTAAAGCTTTACAAATGAAACTTATTCTGAATTTGAGTAAATCTCCGCCACATAGTTCTGGACATCGGCAGAGGCTGGATAGATCAATGACTAACAATGATTCTTGGATTTGGAGCTTCACTAACACAAACTGCCAATATCATTGCATAATGCAGAGTTTAATTCGGGTTTTCTCTGGCAGGGTGTGGGCACTGTAAGAAGATGAAGCCAGAGTACGAGGAGGCCGCAGAGATGCTTCATGTAGCCAGTGATGTAAGCTCATTTCCTTTATTTCCCTCTTTTCAAAAAATCCATGATAAATACTAGTAGTAATAAAAATGACTTTTCCATCCCTCCCTGCAACAGTTTTAGCTGTTCTCATCCTCCCACAGGGCCCTTTGAGATGTGCTTCCAAAGTACAGTCTCATCGGGAATGCATGAGCCTTGCCAAAGCGTTAGCAAGAACATTCTGTCTTGAGCGAAAACAGAATTGCCAAGTGATTATATATTCTGCCGTAGGGCCTTATTTATATGCAATACGATCAAACCCAAATATAATGCGGAAATGTTTATTTCCCCATTAATTAAAGGCCTTGTGTTAAAGGAAAATTAAGAAAACAGAGGGGGATGGGGTTTCATTTATGGTGTAGAGGCAAAAGCTTAAAGGTCTTGTGTCCCCTCTTGCATACATTGATTTTACACTGGCATCACGCCACTGTACATCAGTGTAACTGAAGGGAGACTCTTAGACCCAGCCATGATGCTGATTCTCGTTGTACAGGAATGGTCATTGTAGCTCAGACACTGCATGACCAGGAGACACAGGTCTTGTCTCCCAGTGCAGTAGGTCCTTTTTTGATAAAGCCCCTTCCAAGAAGTCCGTCTCAAAGAAAGGAGCGTCAGCGAAGGAGCCATCTGAACGACGAGTAGTTATTTGGCACAAGGGCGGATTGGAGTTGCCGGAGCAGACCTGAGGGGAGAAGGCACAACGATGAGAACGGGAGGAGGACTTGAAAGGGAGATTCAGGAGCTCTTTGGGGGGATGTTGGAGGAAGTGGGGGGAATAGATGTAGGATAGAATGATGCAGCCGCTTAACAATGAGATGGCGGCGTGAAGTTGATACACAATGGCTACGGCTACACTGGCCCCTTTTCCGAAAGGGGCATGCTAATTTTACAGGTCGTAATAGGGAAATCCGTGGGGGATTTAAATATCCCCCGCGGCATTTAAATAAAAATGTCTGCCACTTTTTTCCGGCTTTTAGAAAAGCCGGAAAAGAGCGTCTACACTGGCCCCGATCCTCCGGAAAAAAGCCCTTTTCCGGAGGATCTCTTATTCCTACTTTCAAGTAGGAATAAGTAGGAATAAGAGATCCTCCAGAAAAGGGCTTTTTTCCGGAGGATCGGGGCCAGTGTAGACGCTCTTTTCCGGCTTTTCTAAAAGCCGGAAAAAAGCGGCGGACATTTTTATTTAAATGCCGCGGGGGATATTTAAATCCCCCGCAGATTTCCCTATTACGACCTGTAAAATTAGCATGCCCCTTTCGGAAAAGGGGCCAGTGTAGCCGTAGCCAATGTGAAAAGAAGCCGGAGGAGGGCTTCAGTGAGGGGACTGGCATGGTCAGAGTGGTTATTTTATCAGCAACACTCGCTACTGATTGGCAGGGCGCAGGAGGTGGTGTGGGAGGCCATGTAGAAGAGGCAGGGTTGCAGTACTGAAAGCAAGCACTGACCAAGGAATGGACGGTGAGTTAGTGGTAGGAACGGAGACAACAGGGTACATTTGTAGAGATGTCATAATGGACAACATGATTGCCTGAGTATTAGGGCAAGGGAGAGGAGCATGTAGCATCATAGTGACAGGCTGGGGAGGGGCCTAGGAAAGTGGCATTTTTAGCAATGGCGGAGAGTAGATTTCAGTGGAAGGGGTGAGGATCAGGAGCTCGGATTGGGCTATGCTGCTTCTCAGTTGGCGGTAGGGTTGTGGGACTGGACAAAAGGGAGGGTGGGGTGGAGTGGAGAGTGGGTTCTGAGAGTGAGTAATAGAAGGGTAGAGAGTGTATCAGAGCCACCCATATTTAACAATTTACATGGTAAAGGGAAAATCCTGCTCCTGCCTCTGGCCATGCAGAACAGAAAAATTAAGACGGTCCTGGATTTGGGGATGAGAGTTGTGCAACTAGACCACCCTGACGCAGGCCAAATCCAGGGTTACACAGGCAGGGATGAGGCAGGGCCCTCCAGTGCATGTGCCTGACAGCAGCGTTTCTCAACTGGTTGTACGAGTACCCTTAGGGATACTCGAGAGAAATCTTGGGGGTACGTCAAAACAACTGAGATTTGGAGAGAACTGAATTTTTGTTTTACGTTGTACAGGATTTTATCATTTTTGTACTTTTTATGCCCCAAAATTTAATCGCCCACCTGGATACGATTACTTTGTTTTAAACAAATGTGTTGCAATGGTAGAAAAAATGTTTGTGTGTCTGAAAACTGTAGGTATTGGGGATACTTATACATTTTTTTAAAGGGGGTATTTTATTAAAAAAAAAAGTTGAGACACTCCTCAGCTCCCTTGTGGCGAGGGCCGAAGATGGCCCCTGCAGCCATTGGGCTGAAGTAGCTCTGGCTGAATGGCTGCCCAGCCACTCAGCCAGGAAAGGAGTATTCCTCTCATTTGTCCCCCTTCCTTGACCATAATACACCTGGCCAGTGTTCAACTAGGCTCCTGATGCTAGGTGTGAGTAGCAGGTTGAGCAGCAAGGTCTTGTGTTACTTTGACTGTATGACCTAGTAAAATATATCCCTCTCTTCATAGGGATATTGGGAGCAGCTGTGCTTTTCAGTATGCACATAGTGTGCAGTTGGAGTCTAAATCTAGACTGTCTCCTGACTAAGTGCATGTGATGCCATGGTTTGCAGTCGGCTTCTTCTGTTTCAGAGTCCTGATGTCCTCGCAGCAGTTGACGCTACTGTCAACAAGGCAGTGGCAGAGAGATTTCACATCTCGGGGTTCCCGACGTTGAAGTACTTTCAGGATGGCGAGGAGAAGTATACTCTGCCGCATCTCAGAACTAAGAAGAAAATCATTGACTGGCTGCAAAAGTAAGTTGGATAAGTTTTGAGGTTTCCTCCAGGTTTCTGGCTATTAGCCAATGAAGAGTCCTTTTGTGAACATGTAAATCTTAAACTAAGGTTCATCTCCTATTTAAATCCCTGACTCTCAAAAACAAATTGAATTCCTGTACTAAAAGCCACACATGGAGGTGTTCATTATTTTTTAATATATAAAAAAAATTATTTGCTATGTTTTTTTTTTTAAATACATGCCCCTTTAACTCTTTACCAAAAGAAATATTTTAAGAGGAAGGAGAGAGGCTATTCTCAGTAGTGACTGATGGAAGAACAAGGAGCAATGGTCTCAAGTTACAATGGGGGAGGTCTAGGTTGGATATTAGGAAAAATTATTTCACTAGGAGGGTGAAGCACTGGAATGAGTTACCTAGGGAGATGGTGGAATCTCCTCTGTTGAGGTTTTTAAGTCCCGGCTTGACAAAGCCCTGGCTGGGATTATTTAGTTGGAAGTGGTCCTGCTTTGGGCAGGGGGCTGGACTTGATGACCTCCTGAGGTCTCTTCCAGCCCTAGGATTCTATGGAAAGTGTCTCCTAATCTTCTCTCCTGGAAGGCAAAACAGTGGCTCAAACAAATAAGATTAAATTTGCTGAATCTTCTTTCTTTTAGCCAATAATTTTCATTGTTTAGCAGCCAAATTGTACTCTTTTCTTTTCGGAGTCCTTTCTGACCATCAAAAATGGCATCTTTGCCCATATTTACTTTATTCCTGTGTCTTTATTAGGAGATGGGGTAAAACACACGTTGTATGTTGAGAAGAATGTATCTCAAAGAGGGAAGAACTGTTGATATGATGCTTTCTCAGGGACTTTGTGTTTGCTATATTGTGCCAGATTATTTGTTGAGGTTTCACTTTTACCACTTAAATAAGATGTGAAATAAGGCATCCAACCTTGACTTTTGAACAGGAGAGTTTGGTTAATAATACTTGACATTTTTATTGTATTGTGCAAGTAAGTCTCTTTAAGTGCCTGCCTTCAAACTATTAATTTGGCCTTTCAGCATTGTTGTATGGAAAGTAAGTATTAGACACATTTTACACTGGGTGCATTGAGGGGCAGTGAGATATGGCCACGTTTAAACAGGAAGTCAGTGCCTACGAGGA